TGTCCCAAAAGTATAGTGTTCCTCTAACTGGAAAAATAAAATTTTGAATCTATCTTATTTCCCCGTTGATAGAGAAAGTGAGATGAAACGTTACAATAGAACGGACAGCAACGTTCCATATAAAAACTCTCTGGCCACCAACCTGGAGACGAAACTTGAGCTTCAAAAGCCAGTAATGAAAAGAAGAAAAAGATGCGGGATAAAGAAAACCTATTTTGTGCCAGATCCTTTTAAGAGTAAGAGTTTATGTGAATGATTTGTGTTATTAAACTGCGAAGGTGTTTATATATGTAAAATATGCGTATTGGAGGAAGTCAGCTGGTAGCTTCACGCTCCTGAGGGAGAATCCAAAGTTCATTACCAATTGGTCTACCGCAGAGAAGTCTGCAAACCCTAGGGGCCTGAAATTCTTGAAAGGCCATTCAAACCTCAGGTGGACTCCGGCGTCTCCATTTTTCTGTCCTTCCGCTTTTCTTCCCTTAAAAAGCTTCTTCTAGGATTTGCATTTGAAGAGGTTCAAGAGGTCACTTCCTCTCTCACTCTCCTCCATCCTGGCCCTGCGGAGCAGCGGTGCACGGACCCTCACCTGAACGCCGTCCAAGCCGCAGTGCTGGGAGCAGCGGCTCTGCCTGAGGTTTCGCGCCTCTTGCCCTGCGGCCGCTGCAAGAACCGACTTTGCCTTTGGAGAGGCTAGCCTTTCCTTCCTACTCGGCTACGCGCCTCCTTCCGAGTCCAGCAGAGGCCGGTGCTGATCCCGAACCGAAGAGTGGCCGTTTATTGCCTGCCTTTTCCAAGCAGTATTTGGAGACAGGTCCTAGCGGGAGTGGAACCTGACCAAAGATCATACAGAGAAGACTTCGAGGGCACTAAAACGAAAATGCTCTCCGCTTTCCATCCCAGCTTCGAAAGTTGTCGCCCTCTTTGCCTCGTTTCCGTTCCACTTCTACCGAAGAGGACACCCTTCCACTCTGAGGGCTCAGTAGTGCACCGCTGCCCAAAGCATCCAGCACCCTAAGCAATTTGGCCGCATTGAGCGAGCAGGATGACGCTGCCGAAAAATGGAAAGGTATCGCTAAACCAAGTCAGATCCCGCCACCAGCCCGGTTCTTGGCGAGCTGGACCGCACCCAACGCCCAGAAGTGTCCCAGCTGCCGCGCGCTCCTGCCATACACACATGCTTCGCGCGCTACGGCTCCGGGCTTGAGCCTTCGGCCGGTGGTCCTGCCTGGGCCTTTTCGTACTTTCTCCCAACTCAATTTCTAACTCTTAATTCTTGATCGAATCCTAAAACTAGAGCAAAGCCCAGGAGTTTGGATGGGGCAAGAATAGGCGCATGGGGCCCAATTTTCCCTAGACCCTTCTGTCTATAATAAGAAGGCATCCCTGGGAAAGCAGGTCCAAATTCAGAGGAATCTGCACCGTCAATTTCACTGCCGACGTTTGTTGAGGATTCCTCACGTACTGCACACCGCTCAACGCACTTGGCCTATATGAATTCGTTTAATCCTCTCAACAACTCTATGGCGCAGCTATTATTATGATCTCAATTATAGAAATGACAAAACTGAATTCCAAAAAAGTTAAAACAAAAATAACTTGTTCTAGGTCACGTATCTAGCAAGTGCAAGGTGTAGTGGAGCGGGGAAATACACAAAAAATTAAATATGCAAAAAGCCTTTACGACCTTAGTATTTCAAACCGCAGGTTACATTTCGGAATCAGAACTGCCGGAGCGACTCTAGCGGGGTAGAGTGGGGTGGGGAGTGACCAGCGGTGGCCTTTTGTGCCACGGCTTACCCGAGGCTGAGTGACCCACGCCCGCCTCCCTGGGCTCCCGGGGAGCTGTGGTTGGGTGCACAGTGAGGGTTCTTTGCTTGCCTCACCACCTCCCAAAGGATGGTCCAGAGCCTGCTCTTGATATAAACGGAAAATGGGGCGGAAAGGAGGACATCTCCGCCCAAAACAAATAAGGGGGTCTGCTTCACTGGCAGCCCATGCCTGCGAGGGACCTACCAGGCGCCTTTTGCAGCTAATGCAGCAGCACGCGGCCACGTTTTTCTGTATGAGTTTTCACGCATTTCTGGTGATATCTCAGGGGCAAGAGACTCCTAGAGTGCATATCAGCTGGCTGTGGCTCGATCCCCCAGTGAGCGAGCCCAGGTCCCACACACCCCGGCCGCCTGAGCCAGGCATTATCATACTGGTGCTTCTGCGAGGCACACTTTGCTCGAGACAAGTAACGCTCTACCCTGCTGGTGTGAGCTCCTCTGCCAGCGATGCACACACACACACACACACACACACACACACACGCCGCCATGGTCACGGTGCCTGCCCCGAGCAAGCGCAAGCCCCCGGGTGCTGACCCCCGGCGCTGCGAGGACAAGCGCCCAGTCCCGGATGATGCGAAATATTCGGATGCCACCAACAGCCGGGTAAACCAGACCAAAGAAAACATCTCTCCCCTACCCTGCGAGAATTTGCGCTTTGTGGATCCATACGGCCCCACCCACGGCCCCACCCACAGCGCGAGCACACCGGGAGAGACCCCTCCCGCAAAGAGGCAAGTTTAAACTTACAGACAATGGACACATCTTTTTCTCATTAAATACAAAACCAACGTGCATGAGATTGCTGAGGGAAAGAAAGATGCCAAGTATGCATGATACCCACAGAGTACTTTTAAACAGTTTTTTATTGAATTGGGCCGAAAACAACAGTATAAATGTGTACATGTCAATGTATGTTAATGCTTTTTTACAATTTTTATGTCATTTTTATAGTCACCGTGGGAGGGGCCTTTTGTTTTGGGTTTGGTTTGTTTTTGTTTTTTTTTTCATTTAAAAAAAAATAGATTCTGAAGCTCACAGACTTACCCAAGGTCACCAGAAGCAAGAGCAATTGTCAAACAAAATCTAGAGCTACCTATGATGACCACATGACTATTCATCTGCTCAGGGTTGCATAGAAGGTGAGGGAAATGCTCATACCTACAGTAACATGTACTGTTTGGGGAGCAGAAAAATCAGAAAAATAATTGGACAAATATTTGTGAAATATTTGTACAGAGTCCTGGTGTGGACTGGAGTTTGCAGGTATGGGCCAACCAGTGCCTTGTGGTCCACCCTCCTGGACCCCTTCACCCTGCCAGCCTGTCCAAAATCTTCTCACAGTCACTTTGAAACAATTCGAAAAATTATTTCCTGGCTGACCACTGCCTGGGTAAACAATTTGGAAACTACTCTATGGTCCACATGGATAAATATATACATATGTACAGATTTATTCAAAGGATACACGTGATGTTGCAATAAAATAAATGTATATGATCTGGTATGCATGTATGGAAGCAATGTGGCATTAACTCTGGTGACTGAATAAGCAGAGCACCCCTTTTCACCACTCACTGCTAAAATCCACCCATGGCTCCAGTGACTGGAGGAAAGAGAAAGCCCAGAAACTGGGGGCTGGAAGTTTTTTTGTGGGGGCTTGGGGGGAGTAGCAGGATAGAGAGTTCTGTTTGTAAAACACACAACCAGAACAATGTTCCAGCATAATATCGAACTTCCTCAAGGAAGCGTGCTTGTCTGCACCAAATGTAATTTTAGGTATGAGAGAGCTAGAACTGGAGGCCGTGGAGAGAAGCAATAAGCTGCACTTTTAGAACATGAGGTCTACATTTGCTAAAATATTTCATGAGGAAATGAAAATGGAAAAGAGATAAATGAAGCAAGTGTGGCAAAATCTTGATAATTGTTAAATCTAAGTGATAGGTATATGAAGGAAGGTTTATTGTATAACCTGTCCATTTATGTATATATTGAAACTTTTCATAATAAAAAATATTAGAAGAAAAAATAAAAACTCAACTTCTTCACTTAGAATAAGTGTATTTTATTGTATGTAAATTATACCTCAGTAAAATTAATTAGGTTTTTAAAAAAAAAAGTCATGATGGGGAATTCCTTCTTGTTCCCTAAAAGATAAAGCCCACTTCCTCTGACACCATATTGCAGAGGATGACCAGTGGGTGACTTCTTGGTCTCAAGTTCCAAATTAGTGCCGCTGGCTTTCTCTCATCCCAAGCCTACTCCTACCTGACCTGTAATTCTTCCCCCACCTTGTATCCAGCCCACTCTAAAAGGAGCCCCAAAGTTCCTTTATATCTTACAGACTTTCACCAGGACAAGTTTAGGGAGCTTTCCTTGGTTAAAAGGAATGAGAAGTAAAAGCAAACAGTTGTCTTCCTGTCACTGTAGACCCAGAAGACAAAAGAATGGTTTTGGAGCCTCTTCATGGATGAGAAGCTGAGAGGAAACGCCTTCCCCGGAACATCTCCCTGCAGAACCAACTGGAACTGGCTTATCCAGATGCCCAGTGATGCCTGGTGGTCTGTTTTCTACTAGACCGCAGAAGAGCTCCAGGCTTAACTTACAAATGGAGATACAGCCCCCTGCCCCTTGCTTCGTGAACCAAGATAATGGAACTGAATCCTGAATTTCTTCAGCAAGGCCTAAGCTTGTTTGCAACGGATAGAGGCGTACAACTATGTGATTTTGTTCTTTATATTTTAACGGCGTGGGGGAGTAGAAAAAGCAGAATATGTCCTAAGATGGCCAACTGAATACAAGGTAAGCGACAAATTTGAAGGTATCTGTCCACCTGGGGGCCATACACTGGCTGGCCCAAGGCTAGACCTGGGGCCTGGGCCGCGGGCAGAAGAGCCTTGGGCGTGGAGCTGCGGTGATAGACTCCCGCTGGCAGCCTCGCAGACCACGATTCCCGAGAGCCTGGCGCCACCCAGCGGAATCGAGAAGAACTGCCTCTTCCACGCCGATGCCCACGGGAAAGAGGCGGCGCAGCACTCAACACCGCAAAATCCGAGGACTCTCGGAGAGAAGGGAAGTGACATTCATTTGACAACTGCAAAAAAACCATGCCAGGCCTTGCCAGTTCACCGCTCTCCACCAACAAAGATACCGTGACCAGGCCCCAAAAGCATGTCGGCCAGGCGGAAACTCTCCTTTTCCTCTGAACTTCAAGATGAAAAGCGCCTTCTTCTAAAATGCAAATTACTGGAAGCATTTGGTGTTGACGTTCAATGCAGATCCGGGGTATGCATTGGCTCTGCTGGCCACGCGATTGCAAGCACAGGGAACAGTCAAAGTCGAGGGCGGGGGAGAGGGTGAGGAAGGCTGGGAAAGAGAGTTAGGAGGGCTGAGGGAGAGGGTGAGGAGGGCTGCGTAAATCATTTGGAGGGATTTTTGGCCTGAGTCCCTGTTTCCGAAAGGTTGCGGGATGGCTTTGACGTTGATTATATAGCTGTTCTCTTTTCAAGTGCGCGTCCCTCCCCACCGCAGCCCGTCTGGTGTGCGAGGATTGTATTTGAAAGGGAGGAAGCGTTCTTGGAGTGGTGGGTGATGGATTGTCTAAACCCTTCTGGGATATTTTGGGCGGTGGTTTTTGAGGCAGTTCATCAATAAAGACCCCACCACCACCATCACCCCGGAGAGAGAGGGGACGGCTAGAGAACAGCTCCCACCTTGCAGCCCGGAAGCCCCAGGCACCGGCTGCGAAGGAACCCTTGCGGCCAAGGGCAGGGGGATATGAGGGAGTGAGAGGAGGATGAGTGGGGGGCAGGTGGAGACCTCCTTGTCCGGAACTGTCCGCCATGGAAGCCTTTCCGGCCGTGATGCGTGCGTGCTGTAGGGTGATTTGTTTAGAGAGAGGATGGGGGACAGCGGAAAGGCCGGCGGACTCCAGAGTGTCGGAGCAGGAAGGAAATGGAGGTGCCAGAGGCAACTTCAGGCCATCTTACGCCACTAGAAGTGTTCTACTTTTATTCTTTTAGTCTCCTACTCCAGCTCCTCAGCCACACTCCTTGCATGCGATTTCCCTTGGTTTAAATTTCTTTTAGAAACCCCTACCAAAATCTGTCCACCTCTCCCTGGATAGATTTTGGTAGGGAGATGAAGGGAGGAGGGAGATGAAGGGAGGGGCCTAAGGATGACCTGACTCAAGCCATCGGACCGTCTGATGGACTCAGAACCCCTTGGATCAAGCCGCAGACGCAGCCTCTGAAGCTGCAAAGCCCTCTTCTTCTTTCTCGTGGAGCACCAGCCTTCAGAGATAGCCCACTAGGGTTCCTCTCGACCCCAAACCTGGACTACTCTGGGCCTGTCTCAAAGAGGAGGCAGCTCCGGGGGTGGGAACCCCGATGTGGAACTGGGCGGAAATTTGGTAAGACTCGAAACCTCGAAGGCAACGCCGACCAGGAGAGGCAGCTTGGAGCCTCATCTAGGATGCCGAGACCCCACACGCCGGGACAGCCGCGGTCTCCAGGGCTTTCCTGGACCCCTCTTCTGTCCCAGCACTGTCGCGGTGTGCAATCCTTTCCCGCTGGTGCCGGCCTCCCAGGCCTTTCGCCTTCTAAAGCCCCAGGTTGCACAAAAGAGCTGTCTTTCTCCCTCCTGCAACCAAGGGTCAGAAGGAATGCCTGAACAGGGACTGTATGCCAGGTCGACGGTGTAGGCGGGTACGGGAGTAATGAGGGATGGGTCGGAGAGAGGGCTCCCGAAAGGCAGCTCCTTCAAGGCGGCGTCTGGGCGCCCCGAGGTCCAGAGTCGGGCTGCGGGCGCCGAGCGCGTTTTATTTATCCCCACAGAGGATGCTGGAGGACAAAAGAAATATTTGGACGTCAGAGCTGATTTATATTTTTGGAAGAGCTACGTTTCCTTTTCTGAAGAGAAGCGAGTGCGCCCCATATCCTGAGCTCAGCGGGGAGGACAGAAGGGGAGTTTTGATGCTCCAGGAAGTTCATCTATCACAGCGCAGCGCGCTGGACCCGGCGCCCCGCGGAGTTAGCTGCCCTAGGAGATATTTATTTATTTGGGGATAGGGGAGGGCAGGGGGAGAGGAGACCAGTCAGACACCAGAAGAAAAAATTACGCGGGCTAGGTCGAGACTTCCAGGGAGCCGCTCCCGCCCCCCTCCCCGCCCCGGCTCGTGAACAGGCAGCCTACTGGCCTCGCCTCTCAGTCGACCAGCGTTCCAGGAGCCGCCTTGCGGTTAGTCTCTGTGCCCGCGACTAACCCCTCCACGGCCCACGAGTCCTCCCTGGTGGGTCCAGCCCCCCGCCCCCCATCAGCCCTGCTCCGCCTAAGGGCCAGCCATCTTCTTCCCACCCCGGGGGGATGGGCAGGCAGAAACAGTGGCGAGGCACGAGACCACAGAGCAGGGGCGCGCAAGCCCTGCGCCCACCCAGACCAGACGCACAGCAGGATGGGTGCAGGGGAAGAGATGTTGAGCTCAAGCTGTCCAGAGACCACGCCCAAGACATAGCTTGGCTCCACGGGTTTCCATCTCATCAGGGCGGATTTTCCTCCCAGCCGCAAAAGAGGACCCGAAATTAACGTGCTGGAGGGGGGGGGGGTGGAGGGCACCAGCACTCACACTTGCTTCTGCCGTTTATCTCCCTAGGTTAGGAGTGGGTAGTACAGGCTTCCCTAACTTTCCTTCGCCACTGGGAGCCCACTCATTCCTGCCCCTGCAGGAGACACACGGTGTTTATTCCAGCACTGCATCTTCTCTCGCTTTCCCGCAGGCATCACAGCTACCTTTTAAGGAGAAATGGCCGTCCCTGCCATGGAAACCCTCTTCTCAAGGCCTCGGTCTCCCCACAAATAAACGCAGCAGGCTGTGGGCGATGCCTAAGGCGGGTCCACTGCAGAGGCTGCGTGGTGCCCCGCCTGGTAACGCCTCGCCGGCACCCGAGTTAAGGCCGGCATCCCGGTTAGGGTCTGCGGCCAGATGGGCTGACTCTTAGAGCATCCCAAGTTGTGTCTCCACGCAGAAGTGAAGCGGGGCCTCAAAATCTGGGAAGCGCAGAGATAGGAAGCCCCAACGCAAGCACCTCAGACCTAGCCATGTGGGTGATCAAGTCATGCCTACTTCAGGCCCAGGAAATCTGGGGCTAAACGCGGACCTCTCAGGAAGGTGGTTATAAAAAGAGCCGTGCCTGGGACACAGGCGTTTGGAGAGCGGAAGAATCTATCCAAATAAACATTTGGAATTGGGTGGCTGGTGTTCAAACCCGGAGGTCTGGGGGTTTCTGGACGGAGGAAGGAGAGCAGACTCTGAGCAGCCTGTAGAATTCCCACTGTTAACCCTCCTCGCCCAGTTCCCCTCTCCAACCCCAGACTGGGCGCCTCTTTCTAGCTTCTTCGCCTCCTGGCCTGTTTTTCTATCCTAAATGAGAATTTCTAGAGGGGCCTTTGTGGCATGCAGGCTCATGGTCCTTCGTGATTTCCACAAACAAGCGGATATCCCTTGGGTCTGAGCACTGAATCCCCACCGTCTACATCTAGAAAGGCCTTGCTGGAGTTGGAGAATCCTTTACACGCTATATATGAAAACACAGGGTGAACAGAGTGGGCACTTTAGGACTGAATTGGGAAGAGATTTTGCTCAGCCAGGCTTGTGAAAGGAAAGAAAGGAGGGGCAAGAAGACAGAGAAGTGCCTGGAAGAAGCAAGGTCTCAGAGGCAGTAAACAGCATTGGTGCAGAGGCATCTCGGGTGGGTAACTGGTTTAGTCTAAGCCCTTTCATGTAAAACCCAGGAAGCAGAGGACCCATGCTAAAAACACAAGATGCAAACCGCAGGGATGAAGAGATTTCCAAGAATAAAACGCCGATTGCAGAGCAAAATCAGAGAAACCCAAGCTTTCCGAAGTTTACACTGCCCTGCGCCAGAGCGGGATTGGGACTTTGGAGTTTGGAGCTAGCAAGGGACTCGTAGCCCAGACGGAGATGGTCACCAAAGGGCGAAAAAGTACAGGTATGGAGAGTGTACCGGCTGCAATCAGGCTGTGTATCTCTGGTTAACCAAGGAGCTCCTGAGATGATCTATACTCATTTTATTGAGCCATACTTTTCTTGCCCATAAAAAAAAAAAGAAAAAGAAAAAAAAAAGAAATTGAGATTTTTGTTGTTTATAAAGCAATGAAAGTCAGCCAAGAAGAGCTCACCACCTTAAGAAAGGACTCCAAGAAAGGGAAGTGTCCTAAGCAAGGCTGTTTCAGAGACAAACAAACAAAACTTTCCTTTTAAACCATCTGCTAAACAGAAATTCCGATATTCTTGCCAGGAATAAAGAATTTGACATAATTTGTTACTGCACACATTCTTACACAGGAGATTTGTATAAATCAGTAATTAAAACAAAGTTCAGAGAGGTTTCACTGTGCCGTAGTGAAAGCAGCATGGGAATGAGACTCCAGGCCTACACTACAGGCCAGCTTTGTCAATTGCTCCAGCGTGGTGTACATGGAGTCATCTGGTCTTTCTAAGCTTCAGTTTCCTTACCTCTAAAGGGGAATGATGGTACCTAGACCACTCGGCACTGACATGATGTGAGTGGAAAGGCTTATACCTGTGAAGCCTATAACAAACGCTGGGATTTTGTCTTTCTAGAAGTGAGGATCTCTGCTAGGGGAACGGTTTCCATAGGCAGGAGTGAGATGTCCAAGAAACAGTTTTGGAGAAGAGCCCCTTCCTTCTCAGATAACTAAGAAGTTCACCAACCTCCATTTCTTCTTGGAGCGGAGGGCAATATTTAGATTCCTGGAGAAAAAGGCTCCAAGTGAGCCGACCTGCTCCTGGCTGGGGCTCTCACTGCTCTTCAACACCTATTGCCCTTCCAGGACTTGTCTAGCCTCTTATAACACTCACCAAACTATAAGTGGTGTTTCTTGCAAGTTTAGAGAATTGGGGTAAAATGGATATCACTGTCAGTTGGATGGGGTAGGGACCTTTGAAAATTCCTGATAACCAGCTGAATTGGTAGAAACTAACAATATGTAGAGTAGTTGTGTGTGTGTGTGTTGTGTGTGTGTGTATTTTAATGAGTATCTATGGATCCCCTAAGACTTCAGGCAAAAAAAAAAAAAGTATTTTTTCTGGAGGTAGGCTCCAAAGCTTCCATCATAAGCTCAAAGAGACTCATGACTCCTAAACTGATAACTACTGGTATACAGTATCATTGCTAGCCCTGTCTGGATTTCAGGGATGATGCTGTTCATTCTTCAGTCTCTAGGCCTTAAAACCTTTTAGGACCTAAGATCCAATGTACATAGACTCCCACGCTATAGAAAATCTGAGTCAATGACAGTGATATTGACTTGCTGGATTTTCCTGAAATCCACTGCCCAACACCCCACCTACAAATGATTTTGTTCCTTCTTTCTGTGCTTCTTAGCGGGGGGGGTTCTCTCTCTCTCTCTCTCTCTCTCACACACACACACACGCACACACGCACACACGCACACACGCACACACACACACAGAAGGTTACGTTAACGGAATCCACTTCTTATTTTACTTAATTTTTGGACACTTAAAACATTGATTTAGTGAACACACTATTTCTATATTTAGTTACTAATATTTAAATTAGCCCATGAAAAATGACAAAAAGAAGATAAGAGAAAGATACTATGAAGTAAATGGAGACCCATCTTTAAAAAATACTCACCAGTCACTCAAGGAAATTCTTAGAAGTGGAAACAACTGCAAATGCCCTACCCCAACTCAATCAAAACATCCCATCCGGAAAAGAGCGACTTGTTTCTTTTTTCTATTGGAAATGAGCGGTAAACTGAGTTCATTTTGGCCATGTTTTCTTAGCTGACTCTTGGCTACAATCAAGCCATTTTCGGACACATTCCCATGTAGGTACCAGGGGTGCTCTGGAGGAAGCTGTCGACGCCTGTTCAACTAATTTAGGTTTTCTTTGTCTAATTACTGCGGAGCTTAGGGAAAAGGAGCCCGGCTCAAGGCAGTAAACTGACACTCAGTCTCTGTGTGTGGTATTCAGGCAGGGTTTGATGGAAAAAGCCTGCTTCCACTCAACTTCAGGTCACTGTCTGGGGCCAGAGCCAGCCCAGCCCCCAGCCTACCCCTCCCACCCCTCTTGCTCCTTTGCTTCTACAGTCCCACCAGTGTACTCAGCCAGGAGCAGTCCCCCAAGAGCTCTAGGGGCACAGATAGCTTATGCCAGCCCCAAGAGACCTGCCTCCACTGCGTTCCACCCAAAGGTCTTTGCTGCCCACCTTTCACCAGATCCCTGAACAATGTCCCCTTCTCTTGCCACCCCCTTCAACCCCTCCTCCTCCCCCCCGCCCCCGCACTCCCCTCTCCCGGCCATTCTCCTCAGGCTCACCAGCACATGTGCTTGTACCTTGGTCCTTCAGAGTAGATGCAGAAGTGTGCCCTGCTTCCATTTGGTCCTGTGGTCTGCAGCAACTCCCCGCTGTGCCTCCCCCATCAGCCCTTGTGTGGCCCTGCCAGCTCCCAGGCCTTCTGCTTTCCTACTGGTACTTCCAGACCCTGTTCCTGGTCAGGCTACATTTCCTTGCACGTGCAATCCAATAACTAACTGTCCGGTCTCATTGGAAATGACTCCTCCTGAGGGCACAGCCTCTCTCCCAGCCGACTCTTACTCAGAGAGGAATTAGCCACACTGAGGTGGAGTGTTCTCAACTCCAGTGTGGAGCCCCGAGATGGCACAAATATTTTGGTGGGCATCAATAAGACTGAGAATGTAAATCTAGTAACAGTAACACACCCCTTCAGGATTGAATATAAATACAGCTATTCCACTTATCTCACTCAGTAGAAAAGGAAAGGAAGTGAAAAAAAATCTAAACATGTATTCTATTCTATCAGACTTCCAGTCTCTAAAACTTGATTTAGCTTTCTCTATCTAAACCCCTCTTCTCAAAGTTCAGCAAATGCTCATGATTGCCCCAGGCCACAACCCTGGGACACTAGAGTACCCTGGCTTCTTGCCCTCCACTAACAATTGTCGTGGAGCCTGCAGGCCTTGTCAGAAAGAGAGGATTGGCATGTTACCTTTGGGAGTCTGGCACCCTGGCGTGCTGAGGGCTGCAAAGTCTGAATGAAGTTGACAGATGGTATCAGTGCAGGTACCGCGGGGGAAGGCAGCTAAGGAAGCTCTCAGCGGCGTCATCAGCAGCAGTACCACTCGGCCCAGGATGGGCCAGGAGGAAGACGGAGGAGAACTGAGGAGCAGGAGGAGGAAGGAGAGATACCTTCCACGGGGGCTGGGAGGCGGCTGGTTTCTGGGACAGGAGACAGGATACTGTAATGGGGCAAAGAAAAAGATTTCATAAAGCCATAGGTGGTGGAGTTTTGCTTGGTGTGGCGTGGGGTGGGTCATCCTAGCAAAAAGTGAGTTCGTCTGTGAGCTTTCCTTTTGAAAGAGAGGAGCAGGAGGAGGAAGGAGAGATACCTTCCACGGGGGCTGGGAGGCGGCTGGTTTCTGGGACAGGAGACAGGATACTGTAATGGGGCAAAGAAAAAGATTTCATAAAGCCATAGGTGGTGGAGTTTTGCTTGGTGTGGCGTGGGGTGGGTCATCCTAGCAAAAAGTGAGTTCGTCTGTGAGCTTTCCTTTTGAAAGAGGGTAGGTAGGGGAAAAGGCCTGAGAGGGATT